CGCAGCACGGAAGCGATAGATATTGTCCGCTTTGGCACGCTGGTCCACAATGCCTCACGGTTTTACTTTGCCCGCTATACCACAAGGCAAACGCGTCATCACGTATATGCCTAGCACTGTAACATCCCGTCCCACATCGGTTGGTGAGGAGAACTAAGCACTCCTTATAAGGGTGTGGATACCTCATCCTAGCATGACCGGTTTTGGGGCTTGCGTTGTGCGGCTGCCAGAAACAAAACCGTGCGACTACTGCTTTGTGGTATAGCGGGCAGGTTAGTCAAAGCGGACAATATCATGCTACGGGGTTCTGGGGGCGTTACAATTAACAATAACAGGGGTTGATTGTAGTCAGGCAGAACACAGTAATCGAAGATCATCTCGAAATCGGCGACCTCCTTCTTACCTAAAAGAGTATCATTGTAATGTTGTTCATGGTGGTAACTCAAGTACATTGCCATATTCATTATCCAAATATTTTGGTTATCAACAGTTAACAGAGGCACAAAGAAGCTTTGCTTGTGCAATATCAACTAATATGGAACCTTCATCATACAAACAAGCTACTGAAAATACAGAATGGATTTTGGCAATGAAGGAAGAACTTAAAGCCATGGAATCAAACAATACGTGGACTGTGGTTCCACTACCGGAAGGAAAAAGTTCTGTCGGATGTAGGTGGGTGTACAAGCTAAAGTATGGACCTTCTGGTGTCATCGAGAGGTATAAAGCTCGGCTCGTCGCAAAGGGGTTTCATCAACAAGAAGGCTTTGATTTTGTTGATACGTTTTCTCCCATCGCTAAAATGGTTACTGTCAAGACCGTCTTAGCCTTGGCCTTCATTAATCAATGGGAGCTTATTCAATTGGATGTGAATAATGCTTTCCTTAACAGAGATCTTGAAGAAGAGGTTTATATGGACATCCCTCAAGGATATAATGTTGAGGGGGAGTTTCCTGTTAGACTTCACAAGTCCATTTACGGGCTCAAGCAGGCATCAAGGCAGTGGAACACAAAGTTTTCAAATTTTATGTTGTCGATTGGTTTCTCACAATCGAAAGCTGATTATTCGTTATTTCACAAAGGTCATGGACATGATTTTGTTGCTCTATTGGTGTATGTTGATGACATAATCATCACGAGGGCATCAAAATGTGGAATTGTTAAACTAAGGGAACAATTGACTAATGCTTTTAAACTCAAGGATCTGTGTGATTTTAAGTTTTTTTTGGGTTTGGAAGTTATCAGGTCTGAAGAAGGAATTTTACTATCTCAAAGAAGGTATGTCTTACAATTACTTGAAGATAGTGGCATGTTAGCCTCAAAACCCGTCAAAGAACCAATGGATCCACGTCATGTGTTGACCGATGATGATGGAGATTTGCTTACGGATGCATCTCAGTATAGAAGAATGATTGGTAGATTGTTGTACTTGACTATCACAAGATCGGATGTGTGTTTTGCTGTTCAAAAACTTTCTCAGTACGTTTCACAACCAAGAACAGGGCATATGGTAGCTGTGAAGCATTTGTTGAGATACTTGAAAGAAAAACCAGGAAGTGGTGTTTTCTATTCGTCTCAATCGTCACTTCTACTACAAGCTTATTGTGATTCCGATTGGGGTAAATGTGTGGATTCGAGGAGATCTGTAACAGGATTTTGTGTTTTCCTTGGGAATTCGTTGATATCCTGGAAATTGAAAAAGCAGCCCACGGTATCAAGGTCTTCAACTGAGTCCGAATATAGGGTTATGGCGGTAGTTACGTGTGAGTTAGTTTGGATCAAACAACTGTTAAAAGATTTGGATGTGCAACATGATCAGTCCATACTCTTGTTTTGCGATAACAAGTCGGCAATGCAAATAGCTTCTAATCMTACTTTTCATGAGAGGACAAAACACATTGACATCGATTGTCACTTTGTTCGAGAGAAAGTGGTTGATAAGCTTGTTCGATTGATGCCGGTTGAGTCTGCTTATCAATTGGCAGATGCGCTCACCAAGCCGTTACCTAGGCCGCAACTTCAATTTCTTTTATCCAAGATGAACCTTCAGAATTCGTTTTTACCCGGTTCATCTTGAGGGGGAGTATTACCACTAGAGGGCCTTTTGGTCTTTTCCTTTTTATAATTTGTTAGGTTTTGTTTTATTGTACTATAAATACTCTTCTTCTCTGTTATCAAGACACTTTTTGTTTTCCCAATTTCATACTTTTGTAATAAAGGTAAAAGAGGTGTGTAAGACAAATCATAAGTTTGATTGTAAGAATCAAAACTCTAATGTTAAACATGAATACAAAAGGGTTGCTTTTGATAATTCAGAATTTAACAAAAGCTATGAGAATAGAAAGCCA